GAATTAATCTGTTCGTTTGGATTGCAGTAGTGTATATTGCTAGTGATCACAGTATCTTTTCCATCAACTGACACTTCCTACAAAATAAAAAACTAATGACCTTCATCTCTCCATAGAACAGCCAAATTCGTTGCCGGTGTTCTTCTTATGAAATATCACAAGGAAAATTGTGTCAGTAGTAGAATAAATCACTAACTTAAAAAAGGTGAATAATAAGCAGATAGAAAATAAGTCAACCTTTAGGATATCGCAGGAAAAAGTAGATAAATTTATACATGCCCTTGTGAGTGACATATTTCGTACTTCTAACTACTAGTTCGTGCGTAAATTATATTTGGACAGATCAGGGTGTTTAAAATAAGAATTCCGACGTTATGCATCGAAATCTGGTACAAGTTTGTTCAGGAAAACATTCAAACACATGTATAACAGGTCAAAAATTGTATAGTTCATCTCATTGTCCAATTGTGACTGGGTTGTGTTTCCCAGTAAAGTTATTGTGTACCGGAAGAAGCTCGGATCAAACTTCCGTGCAAAACGTTGGAATTCTTATTTCAAACATACTGAGATTTGTTCAACTATAACGTATCTAATGTCAACTCTTCACTTAACGCCCTACTATTTATGAAACTATCCGGTCAAATATTGACCAGGATTCATGTATACTAGTTCGCTTTTTGTCAAGTATAGACGAAGAGTTTGTTTCCTAAGATAGGTTAGAATAATGCTTTTATGAATTGACTGTAGTCTTGACTTGATTAGTCTGTGGTTTCTTGTCTCTAGTGACCTTAATCTACTATAGGTATTTATACTAGGAGTATGTATCACCACAGTATATGTCTCTGTCAAGCTTCCCACTTAATTGCAGATCTCTTGTTTACTTAAGCTCTGTCGAACTAACATTTCAGTAATTGAAATTAGTTATGTACTGATGACCTTGTCATCAGGTGCTGACTAAGAACAATTTGTTCCATATTGTCTCACGAAATGTTGAATAAATGTGATTCAATTTGCCAAAAAAATATTGTTAACCGTTGAACATGACGAAAAATAACACTTCCCAGGGAACTTCGCCTAGGTAACTAGTTCACTAGTTACTAGCCGGTCCTAAGCCTGGATAAAGAGGGAAGGTTGGGCATAGGACTAGCAACCCTACCCCGTAAAAACCAACCCATTTGCTAAAGAAACTTCAGAGCACAAACAAAATATAAAGACTAAAAATAAACTTTCTCCCCGTTGGAATCGGAGAGGCGAAATGACAACAGTTCGTGAAAGCCTTCGGGAAGCCAAATGGTCGACGATGATGAAAGCGAAAGTAAACGTGGGGACATGGAATGTCCGAACAATGTTTGAACCTAGCAAGGCTACCCAGATTACAAACGAGATGAGAAGGTATAGCACTGGAGTGTTAGGAACCTGCGAATGTAGATGGAATGGAAGTGACCTCTTCAAACTGTCAACTGAAGAGTCAATAATCTACTCCGATGTTGTCACCCAGATGACGACCATGAGCACTGAGTTATGGAGTGGATATCATGATATCCCCAACAGCATCGAAGGCTCTCTCTCATGCAGTGGGAACCGATCTCTTCCAGGATCCGGATCATGACACCAAGATTCAAATCAAAAGGAAGGAAAGTCACAATCGTACAATGCTACGCTACACACCTACAAGAAATGCAGATGGGGAGAAGAAAGAGGAATTCTACACATAACTGCAATCAACACTGGACAAGACCCCATCCCAGTTGGCGACATCAAAATTCATTCTAATGGGTGACATGAATGCCAAACTAGGAGCAGACAACACAGGAAGAGGACTCATCATGGGTCGAGAAGCACTCGGTGAAATGAACGAGAATGGAGAATTGTTTGCAGACTTCTGCGCATTCAACGATTTGCTGATTGGAGTCAGGCAGTGTGTACAAGCACAAGGATATTCACAAGGGAGTGGCACGGATTCCACCAGATGGACACATTAAAAATCAGATCAACATCATTTCAATGTGAAGAAAGTGGAGACGCAGCCTACTGGACACAAGATCAGATCAAGAAGAGAGATGAGCAGATGTAGGCTCAGACCACTCACTGTCTAGTGCATGGAACCTACCTTCAAAATCAAGTTGAAAGCTTTCAAGGAAGTTGCTGATAGACCACAGTTCACGTTCAACACCCACAACACAAAAGGAACTGAGGGATGAAACTACGAAGAAAATCTTCACGTCAGCCAGCCATCAAGACAAAATGGGAGATATTGAGCAACATCCCTGAAGAAACCTGTGTGGATGAGCACTGGAACTCTCTGAAAGCTGTATGGAAAGAAACCTGGATAACTGTATTAGGAGGGAAGAAAGAAGACAAGGAATGGATCTCGACGGATACATGGAAGCTGATAGAGGAGGGATGGGAAGATGGTGAAGCAGAAGATGAACCTGTGCAGTGCAGTGCAGTGCAGGGATGAACAACAAAAGGGGAACTGAGCAAAACCTATAAAACACCACACTGAACAAAGAAGTGAAGTAGAGTGCGCGGAAGGACGAAAGACGATACTACGGCACTGGCAAGTGAAGCAGAACGGGCTGCAAGTAAGAGAGACAGAGACCTGACAACACAATATCAAATAACCAGGTTACTATCTGGGAAGAGATCAAGGCAGCTGGGAACAATGAAAGATAGTGAAGGAAACCTGGTTGGCAAGGACGGGATGCTGAAGAAACGGTGGACAGACCGCTCTCAAAAGCTCATGAATCGACCACCACCTTCAACTCGTTCACAAATAACACCACCAGCGTAGCCACAGATCTACCAGTGAGCACATGACCCCCGACAATGGTCGAGTTCCTGAAGGCCATAAAGTTACTGAAATCGGTAGAAGCCACGGGACCGGATGGGATTCCACGGAAGGTACTGAAAACAGACACAGGGACAACAGCGGGTATGCTCACACCATTATTGCAGAAGTTTTGGGAATAAGGAAGGAGAGGTACCTGTAGGTTGGAAGAGGGGCTGCCTTGTCAAACTCCCAAACAAGGGAGACCTAAGCCTTTGCAAGAACCGGCGAAGAATCGTTCTGCTGTCCACCCCCAGCTAAGTATTAAGCCGCATCATCCTGGAAAGACTGAGAGATGTACTGGACTCAAAATTACGGTGGGGACAGGCTGGCTAACCTCAGGGAGATTAAATCGTGTGCGGATCAAATTGCAACACTATGCTACGCATCATCATAGAACAGAGTATAGAATGGCAGTTAACCCTCTACCTCAACTTCATAAACTTTGAGAAGGCCTTCGACAGCATCGATCGAGAAGCAACTGCTTCAACACTACGGAGTACCACAAAGTTTTATCAACCTTATTCAACAGCTATATGCTATATGACGGTACGTGCCAAATGATTCACAATGGAAAGCTCAGTGAAGTTTTGAAGTGAAGACAGCAGATAGGGGTGAGACGAGTTTGCAGCTTACTATCACTGATGATCTTCCTGATTGTGGTCAACTGGACTTGAAAGGATCATGCAGCAAACCGTAGGGAGCGAGAAAATGGGGATAAGCTGTTTGATGGATGAATAGACCCTAGAAGATTCGGATTCCGCCGACGAATTATGTCTGTTATCACACAAACTCGGGGATCTAAGGGTGAAAGCTAACGATTTGGCAGAAGAGGCGAGACAGCGAAGACGGAGCTTCAAGTGAACGTAGAGAAGACAGAGGTGTTGGAGATACCCAACCAACAACAATCAGCACCAATCACCATCGACGGAAGAAGCCTAAACGAAGTAGTCTCTCTCACCTACCTAGACACCATCGTTTCAACTACAGGCGGCGGCACAGATGAGGACGTCAAAGCCAGGATCGGAAAAGCAAGACAGGCCTTCACTAACCTGAAGTCAGTGTGCAGATCTACTGCACTACACTCAGCATAAAGAACAAGATCCGGATTTTCAACAAATTCAGTCAAGTGAGTCAGTGCTTCTATGTGATGGTTGCGAGACTTGGCGCATCACGAAAAACATTTCCAACGAACTACAGACATACATCAACAGCTGCCTACGCTCGATACTGAAGATCAGATGGCCAGAAAGAATAAGCAACAAGAAACTCTGGCCTGGCAACGAACCAACCAACAAATATGCAGAAGGAAGTGGAGATGGATGGATTGGGCATACACTGAGAAGACCATTCGGGGACATCAGGTGCCAAGGCATGAGGTCGAGTGAAATCCAAAGGGGGAACGACTAGTTGGGTGTTTGAGGGTGACATGGAGGAGATCGTGTGAGGAAGAAATGAAAGGTTATGGGCAGTGGTGGAGGCAGGTTCAAAAGACTGCAGAGAACGGAGTGAAATGGAGACGTGCTGCTGTTCCGTATGTTCCACTAGGAACTCACGCTACAAATAATAAGATATGATTCATCAGCTTGATCATTCCGCTCGTAAGCAACCATTTCTGGCTGGAAATTCGTTCACGCTTGCCTTGAATTGTACGACGCACCATTGTCAGACCAATTTTACAGTGACTCCATAGTCTTGAAAATGAACTTGTACCGGGTTGAGTTGCATTACGTTGGGGTATTTATTTCCATATCAAAAGTCGTAAGTAATTAATTTCAGCAACTAGTTTTCATAAGCTGCGTCCTGAATAAATAAATATGATTTATTCCTAGATTTGTAGTGTACTACCATTTTTATCGTCTTTAAATTTTCTGCTGTTTTTTTCCTACCGCTTTTGTCTACCTAACTTTTTCCGTTTCCTCATACAATAGTCATCATTCTGGGACTAGTATTTGATAACTTATTACAGAAAATAGGCATCATACAGTTTTGCCAGCTTTCGAAGTTTGCATCACGGTTCTCCCACTTCACTGCATTTCAGTTTGTATTGATGAAGAAAGGGAGTATTTTTATTCCACAGTATAATCCTGTTATTGGCCGGATGCAATGGAAGGATGTTGATCCAGATTATGATTTTAATCAAGAAATCGCTCGATCTGGATATGGTGATATGTTGCATGATTCCGATCGTAATCATAAATACCGTCTTGCTATTGAGCACACTATTCAAAGGCTTAAACAGCAACATCCAGAAAAACCGATTCATGTACTTGATATTGGGACTGGGACCGGTTTACTAAGTATGATGGCTGTTAAAGCTGGAGCCGACTTCGTTACTGCTTGCGACTCTTTTCTTCCGATGACCAAATGTGCACAACGTATCCTACACAATAATAAAGTTAGCGAAAAAATTAATGTCGTACCAAAGCGCTCCACTGATTTGGTCGTTGGAGTAGACATGCCATGCAAAGCTGATGTTTTGGTTGCCGAATTATTCGATACTGAATTAATTGGAGAAGGTGCCTTGGAAACGTACAAACATGCATCTGAACACTTACTGACACCAAATGCTTCTCTTATTCCATGCGCTGCTCATGTTTATGTACAGGTAAGAAATAATCTCAAGTGTAGACTCACAGTTAGCACTTGATCATGTTTTTGGTTGTTAAATATTTTTAGGCTTGTTCTATTAAAACGGACAGAAAAACAAACCAATGTAGAACTTTGTTTGGAAGTGCACGAGTTCAACTTGCCACAATTCGCACCAGAAAAAGATAGTGAGTAGAATAGAAATGATGTTCATGTAAAGAAAAAAGAATGACGACAAAACACTGCCAACATAGAACTAAGTATCAGTGCCTACCGGTACAAGTTGTCACATCAGCATTCTGTGGTATCCCAACTGACATCTGCTACCTTGACGTGGTGGTTGGGCTTATGTTTCACAATAACCCAATCAGTTACACTGACTATAACGCTTGTTCCCTTAAGTTCTGTTTGCCGTTCGACTTCATGGATATTTCAAGGCTAGAAAAGATCTTAAGACTACCAGATTCCTGTTCGTAATCCTCTCCTACCCACTCATCGACAGTAGTTCGGATGAGGCGAAAGATGAGTTCTATCATCAGCTGTCAATTCTGCTACAAAATGAAAAATGTTCAGATGTAGTCATAATGACAGGTGACTTTAAATGTGAAGTAGGCAATCTGAGCTGAACCAATCGGAAAGACATCTCGGTGGTACTTACGAACTGACAACGGTGATCGTCTTGCAGTTTTGTCCCGATAATCACTCCCTTCTGGGCAGCACTAACTTTAAGCATAAGGAATGGCACTGTGTCAAATGGCTTCTGCCTAATTCAAACACAATGGACACTGAGTGACTAACTAACAAAATCAACATGAAACCTCGGACATAGGTAGATCAACTCAAGTTCCCAAACTTCACAGTAGTACTCAAAGAACAGATGCATAGAAGAAACAATCTGAAGATAAAGGTTAGTGTGAATATTCAAGCTTTAAAAGATGCCAAGGGGTGAATTCATTTGTGCCATTGTAACCGTTTTTCAGCTATATCACCAAGAATCCTCAACAACTGGTTCCTATAGTCTCGGGGACCCTTATCAAGCAGTCTACATCTCCCAACATAGCTCATACCAACAGTGAAAGACTTCATTGACTGTCTCCACGTCTTGCTCTGGCCATCCTAAACCCTCTTCCAACCTAATCCAAATTCTTTGAGTATGCCACGTCGAGATAGGTGGTCGCTTGGCATGCTCAGTACATGTCGAAGCCACCTGAGTCGATGAAGGTTCATAACCTCGTCGATCGACCTGCCTATCTTACCTAGTACCCTTCATCTGAACCAAACATTATTCACATGGTGATTCCACCATACCCGAACAACGCTACGATGATGCCTATGATCAAAACGCTATAAATGTTTCATGTCTTCTACTTTTAACGGTCATGTCTCCCAACCACATTAACAGGACACAACGGATCGGAGCGCAGTATATTCGTCCTTTAATAGATAGTTGGATATCTCGCCAGCCGGCGCCACAGGTGAGGTAAGTTGCCAAATGCCAGACGGGCCTTCTGTTTCCGAGTGATGCCGGTTTCTTCTCAATAGGTCCAAAAGATTCTGCATGGACATCGAGAGGATCGATGAAGGATTGCCGCTCTTTTTGGAGTACAAGTTTGGACTCCGATCACGCGTTAGTACATATTCGTGTTTGTCTGCGCCTTACTGGTAGCGGGAAACAGACTATCAGAAAAACAAATTAAAATACACTCAGCACCCTTGTTCAAGTAGGCAATGAACGGCACCTGTTTTGTGAGGGCTAGTGATAGTATTTGGCTGCCTAAACGTCGGCAAGCGAGGCGGGACTCGAACTCGTGACCCACCGGTTGAAATTCATCCCCATAAATCAAATAGCCACCACTCCACAGGTGCTAGTATAGCCTTTCTGTGGTCGACTGGAAGATGTAGACGCCAAATGCTTATTTAAGGAAGAGTTAGCTAAGCGTTTATCTCAACAAGACTAACGCTCCTCTTGAGGAAACCGGGCGTGATATTAAGCTTTTTGTAAATTATTATTATATTATTTGTGCCTTGAGTTCCTAATGGAACATAGGGCTTCAGTAGCACGTCTCCAGTGCACTCTCTTCTCTGAAATTTTTTGAACCTGGCTCCCTGACAGCCCAGAAGCTCTCATTTCTTCCTCACACGATCTCCATGTCACCTTCGCCATGGACGCCCAACTCGTCGCTTCCCATCGGGGTTGCAGTCGAGGGCCTGGCCTGACGCGTGATGTCCCCAGCTTTTTGTAAAAGCAGCAGTAAATGCAGCTGGTAACACGAACTCAAAGCGCAGTAAACTTCATTGAATTTCCCCACTACCATCCAAACTAATTGACACGAGAAGACTGGTTTCAGCTGCCTCTGACCGCGGCAAAAAGCAAAAACAACTTATACGAAAGTTGATTAAGAGTCTTAGCCCCGGTCACGAGCATCGGTGGGTGATAGAAACGGGAGAGGTGGAGAAGGCATCAGCGTTTGGTAACACTCGACAACTTCTCAACTTTTTTTAGCTCTGAAAGCTGTTTCTTTTCTGACTTTAATTTTTTTAGTGTGACTGTCTGAGAAGGCCGTGTTTTTGCAGATTCATATAATTAATACTCGTATCATAGGCCATGTATCGTGGCATCACCGCGTGAGTAACGCTGAAGTTAGGTGTAGAGGTTTAGGGAGGGGAGCAAAGTCCGTTGATCCTGCTTTGAACCCCGATCAACTGAGATGACTGGGACGTGTTATGGATGCCTAGTCACCGTCTACCTACCAAGTAGGGTCAGATTGGGAAGAGTCTCGGGGCGGCCAGATTAAGACATGATACCATTGCATGAAGTCCTTGATTGTTAGTCTGAGTCATGCAGAAGGATGCAGACTTGCCAGTTGGGGTCCATTCAACAACTGAAACCAGTGGTTGGGATTTCTAGATGATATGCCTCAGAATCGATATCAGTGGCCCAGATGTATCCACGTATTATCTTCATCTTAACCACGATACTGAATTCAGCCTTTTCTCACTCTTCCTGCCTCTCTTTTATTGCTTTTTACTGTTTCTGACCAATTCTCTTTTTCTTCATCTTGCTGCTCTGTTGCTTGTTGTGCTAATATGAGGTGTGGTAACTTGAGTTGTTATTCAGTAATCCCTGGTCCTATATTGATATTGATAATGACGTTACGTCATGGTAAATGTTGTCAAGTATGTAAAGTATCCAGCTGGCGAGCCGCACTAAAATATGTGAATTCATTAGATCCTATCCTTGATTTTTTTTTAAGGAGATGACTTTCAGGTGATCATGGGTTTAAACATCGATCTACCTCCCGAGGTTTGGGCAGCCAGGCAGTATCATTAACCCTCTCGCAATAGGTGTGCCTCACTGCCTACTGCAAAAATGTGCACAAGGTTGCTGGGTGCACTTCAATTTCGATCTTTGTTTCTGTTTCTTGTTTGAAATATGTAACGGAGAATGTCTTCATTAGGTTGTACTTTGTCTTTTTCCTTCCTTTTTTGTCCTCATAATGGTGTTATTTTATTTGATGCTGCATTCGTAAGTGTTTTTGATACACCGGGTTTTTGTCGCCAATGGGTCACCGGTAGGTAAGCGATGTAGCTCAGCATTGCACTCTATTTCGGGGTTAGGTGTTGGAAATCAGTTGGCAAAAAGGGCTGGACCTAAGTTTTACGACTATCGTCACTTGTCAGTAAGGCGTAGCTGGGATAATCAGGAAATACGTTCCACTTCACTGTTGCACCACTTAACCTAGTGGCCACATTGCAGTGCTGAGACCTGAGAACTAAACAGCTATATCGGTTACCCAATGGAGACCCATTCTATGCATAAATCAGCCCTATAGGACCAATTATGGTCTGTATGACTTAGTGCTATAATCTGTGACTTGCTGATGCGTGTCAATAAACTCAAAGCCTTGATCCCAAGGCCTCCACTAACTGACTTTAAACATCTGACTAATTTTTATCAATCAAAAAGGAATGCTGAAATAGCATGAATCTGCCTCATTCCTTTACTGTTGGTTTTGAAAAAAGGAGACTAATTTCATGCCACCACTACATCGGTGGTGTCTTCGTGTGAGGCTTCCGAGATATCTGTAAACGTCTTATGGACATTATTCTCTAGCAGACTTTTCTGGACCGGAATTCTTTCCGACGAATCGACCACTTTCGTGATGTGAGTAAATGCAAGAATTATCGTATATTAGTGTTAAAATATCAACTAGAATTAGATCACTACCACCATAAGCTGGAAAAACCTAACTGATGGTCAAAGTGCTTTGATACGATTCAGAATCCTTGGTTCAAATGCACCAGTTGTTTAGGATAAAATCTCATGCTCACTTAGAATCTAGTTTTCATTCTTTAACTTTTATTAAAACTCCCCTGTTGAGCGAAAATAAAACATTCATCACTGAAATATATGCAACTCAATTAGAAAGCAAAGATTTTTCTTCCTAGTTTTTCCAAATTTGTGAACTTAGGGATTATTAATTCTAACTAGTAACGTGAGTGATTATCACAGGCAGAAATTCCTTTGAGTCCGAATCTAATTTTACCTAGATACTTAATTTCTTTAACTGATGGAGTTTATCCGTTTATTCGTAAATAAGAAGAACAAAATTTTTATCAGCAGAGTTTCTTTTCAACAGCTTTATTATTAAGCTGTAAAGTATTTATAATTGGTAAAATGTCAAATAGAGGTATCAAAAGTTCTTCAGTCAGTGTAAACATGATATAATTGATGATGATGGTACGGGGAGGGGGGTTTGTTCAAGTTGGTAAAATAGAAAAGGAGTCATTGTAAAGGAGAGTATTGATTTCAAGAGGTGTGATAAAATTGAAATATGAACAGTGGAGTAGAATGAAGTGGGTTCACAAAATTCTTATGTATGCGTATAGTTTCAGCTTTTGGTCATGTATGTTTCAGTTATACGTAAGTGATGCAAGCAAAATTTTGGATTAGTTCAGTTTAGCTCTGTAATTTCCCTTAAAAAATGAATCTTGAACTGTTGAATGACATGACTCCAA